CATCGCAAACAAATCGGTAGAAGCATCCCCTGTCAAACATTGCCCTACACCGTTTAGACAGGACTAACAAAACACCCCAGAGACTAAACCACTGAAACAAAAAAAAAAAAAATCTTTCTTTCAGGTATTCCATCGTAACACAAGCTGAACTAAGAACTATAAACATTACATATGAAGTACTAACCAACTAATCTTGAATAAAGAAAGGTAGATGTTATATTACTTAGTAATCTCCCTTAATAGAACTTTCTGGAAGAAGTAGCAGTTAACTCCCTTAGTTAATAATAATAATACCTAACCCTTTTCTATTGTTAACCATCATGGAATAAACACGTTCATAGCTTCGTTCGTCGTCTTGACTCTGTGACATAAAGCAACTTGACAATTAAACACGTGCTGTAGCGAAGAGCGATATTTAATTGTATAAGAATACAAAATGTGGCACGAGGCCAAAATGGAGAAGAGGGAAAAAGTTTTATCTTTTTCTGTCTTACAATTAAATTAGCTCGCCAAAAACACTGATCCAAACATACTACAATATTCCTTACAACAAAAGAACGCATTCTAACTTACCATTCTTACTATTAGTATGGGTTATCGGCCACACAGTTTACCGACTATTTAGTGTTAGGAAGAGTAACGTGTATCAGCCTTCCAGTAGCAAACCGATACTAATATTAGCATTAGTGTAGCCATTGATACATTAACACTGAATGCGAATATAGAAATACGAAATACGCGACCGTAACAAACAAAACATTTGATAAGGCAAACAACTTACATACATATATTAAAAAGATTTACATATGTCCCAAAACAAATGATTGTTCATATTGTCCCAAAGGAATGAGGAGGTTTACAGAACGAGAACAAAATTAAAATAACAGCTATATGGCCTTTGATAGTCCGCAGGTGAGTGAATAGAAATTATTTTTTTCTTTCGCTTGGTCGTGCACAATCTTCACGTGTGTGGATGCCGTGGTGGTCAGGAAGGTAAGGTGGCCGTTCCTCAAAAAAATGGCAGCAAGAACTAAAAAGGGAAAGAAGAGTTCTCCTTTCTAAAGGGGCCGAACTCCCATGAGCTCAACCCAAGGGAAAATAACTGTGGTCTCCCTGCGTTGCTACATCCATAATAACTCAGTGCCTTTATAAGTCCTAACTAGTTTCCATATATATATATATATATATATATATATATATATATATATATATATATATATATGCACAATTCTTTTCTGGGGTCAGGGGCATGCAACAACAAGCGAAGAACATTATTTATTTGTAAAAATTAAAAAATGTGGCACAATGCCAAAATGAGGAATATACAAAAGGGCGTTCTTCTGTCTTAACATTAAACTTAGCTGTCCACAAGCATTGACCAAACATACCACAATATTCCTTACACCAAAAGAGCGCGTTCTTCCTTACAATTTTTTAAGCATTTCACCCTAAGTAAGGCGTCACTGTCACTTGTACAGAAGGGGGTTGCAGAGACTGAAAGTAAGAGAAAGGACTGGGTATAGAGGGACTGAGAATAAAAAGAAGGACGGGGATCAATGCATCAGATGAGGATAGACTTTACATCTACATTTTTGAAGATTGTAATTATTAAGGGAGCAAGTAAGGGGAAGGGAACTCTACTGTCGGGAAGTGCGAGAGAAGACGGAGCAATAGATGCGTTTACATTTAACTATTTCAACAGTAAAAATAGTGGGACCAAGATTTCAACCTAATAGCACGCTTAAATTCATGTAGTTTGAGCACCAGTGAAAATAGCTCGTCGGAATAGTTGTCATGAAAATATTTGTAGAAAAGACAGAGGGAAGCCACATCACGTGTATGGGAAAGTTGAGTTGAGATTCCAAGTCAGGACCGATCGCATTGGAGATCCATCTTTGGATTTTGTCGGGAACCTTTAGATGAACAGCAGCAGCAACAGACAATATATGGCGACAGTATTCTATACATGGACAAGTGGTAGATTTATAGATGTTGAGGATGGACTCAGACTAGGAAAAAAACCTTCTGACATCACAGTATATAAAAAAGGATTAGAGCCTTAACGACAAAAAGCTAACAAATAAAACTCACCATTTATTAGCTTGTGTCAATATTTTTACTATGTTTAACTATAGTTAAAACCAATTGCGTTATGAGAAGCGTTTTTCTTACAAATATATCCCACCATTTATTATTGTCGGTTCTCATCGTCCAGTCAGAATCTCAATTCCACGCTTATATCATTTGGCTGCTTTAGTGGTAAAAAAATCTCCCTGCACTCGTTTTCAACCTCATCCACATTGTTGAACCTCCGCCCGCACAAGAAATGAGACTTGGAGTAGAAAAGATGATAATCTGATGGTGCAAGTTCTGGACTATAGGTAGGTTGAAGCAGCACTTCCAGTCCCTCAACTCTGCGCCTGATCGCATTGGTAATGTGTACTGAAGCTTTGTCATGCTGCCGGTGTGTGGGTCTTTGATTGACGAATACTCGCTTCTTTAATGTTCATAGCATGACCATTTGGGACGAAATCAGTGTAACACTGCCTTGAAATTGCAACAAACACACAACTTGAGCTTCTCTTCAAACTGTCCTTGTTTTAAAACAGGTTCTGAATCTTTGCCAGAACAAATCTACTGGTTTCTTTTTATTAAGGACTAGCAGTAGAGCCCAGGGATGTAACAGTAAGAGATAGATCTAGTATCGACCATCATAAAGACTGAAAAATAAAATTGACAAAGATTATTGTTCAAGATTGACGGACACGCATGTCTTAATTATTTTTTTTTGTTTTGTTTTTTGTATTTTTACGAATTGGTCAAACCCAAACTCAAACAAAAACATTGTTTTCAATCGTTATGAGTCTACCGATTGAATAGAATTTTATTATAAACAATTGTCTTGTAAATGGAATTTTTAAAGCATTCTGAATGTAAAAATAAAGAAAAACGTGTTCAAGACAATAAGAAACACTACCTGCCAAAAAGAAAGTGAAGTTTTGTTGAAATCGGGTGAAAAGTGTAGGAAATCCGATCCAATATATAAACGAACAGACACACACACACACACACACACACACACACACACACAACCTTGGTTTTATAATAAGTATGATTACATAAATAGATCCATTTTTCATCCCCAGTTACAATTCAACGTCAAAAATGTGCATCTTAAAGATTTGCCAGTAGTTGTTTGTAAATGTGCCCACATTGTTGATCCACGTCATTGGGCAGTTCAAGAGGAGCTTCTCGACACCATTTATTCACAAGATGAACTTATGAATGTGTTGATGCCAATGTATGAGTGTTTGTATTTGGCTGTTATTCAACCATTTCAAGCAAGGCCTTATCTTCCACAACAGGAAGTCTCTTTAAACTTGATTTGTCTTTGAGGCTGGTGTCACCTTCCTTGAAACATTTGAACCAGTTTTGTGTCATGCAGTTGTTGACAGTTCCCGAGCCATCGGCATCACTAAATTCCTTTTTTTACACATTCAGATTATATATAAACGTCTGAATATATCCAATTATATTTGCATTGTCTGTCGCCATTGTCGTACCAGAAGCTCAATTCCATGATTATAACATTTGGTTGATTTAAACGCAAAATCTCTCTGCACATGTTTTTAATCTTCTCCGCTTTGTTGAAGCTCCATCCACAGAGAGGAAAGAGTCACGGCACGGAAAAATGTGGTAATCTGATTGAAATGGCTAAATGTAGCCGTAAGTTCTATGCTAACAGTTTCACGTGTCGTACTTCTTGCCAATATAACCCTTTTCTGGCTCCTTGCTTTCCAGTCAAGTTGGATCATTACAAGCAGATAAGCAATGTTAATCGTGATTTTCCCTCTTATTAATTCCTTTTCTTTAATTGTTATTCCTCCTTATCGATAATATTTTGTATTTCTCGTATTCTTTTACACTTAGTAACTCCTTGCATCTTAGTGGTTTTATTGCCTTGCATGGGGATGAAATTGTTTTTAAAAAAATATGAATCCATTTCTTTTACTTCAATAAAGGAATAATGGGTTCTCACGTAATGATAAAGTTTTATGTTGAAATTTGGTAAAAATTTACGTTCTTCATAGCTAATTTTGATTTTTATCATGTTCCATCGTTTCCTAATATCTAAATTTCCATTATTATTATTATTATTGTTGTTGTTGTTGCTGTTGTTGTTTTAATATTCATATCAGTAATATCAACATCATTATTCAATGTGGGGATATTAGGCAAAAACTATTCAAAAAAGGTATTAAAACCATTTATTGTTTCACTTATCATCGACGAAAATTGGTAAAAGGCTTATTTGGAAATGAGAATTTTTTCGCATTTTTCCGAATTCTCTGGAGGTTAAAGATAACAGTTTCGGAAATTTACAGAAGCATTTATTCCTGTGTTTATTTTATATTTAACACGAACCTACATTTGAAAGGCGAAGGCAGTGTTTTGCTTTTCATATATTCGGATTACAACGTTAATTCTTGCTCAGTTTATATATTAAAAAAAACAAACAAAAAAACAAATTTCGTTGCACATTTCCAGGGAATAATAAGTATGAAATTCAAATTTTATTTTATTTTTAGCATATATGTATATATACTATTACATACATATATATATATATATATATATATATATATATATATATATATATATATATATATATATATATATATATATATATATATGTATATATATATATGAATGTGTGTGTGTGTGTGTGTGTGTGTGTGTGTGTGTGTGTGTGTTTGTGTGACTGTGTGTGTTTGTGTGTAGGTGTCTGTATATTACGTGTGTGACTGTGTTTGCATATATAAAAGACTTATAAAGATCTTCACCTTTATAAAATAATTTGAATAAGTTATATGCAAATAAGCACAAAAAATATATGATCTAAAAATATATAATCTTCTTTATCTATATGCATGCGCATTTAACATTCATCTATCCCTTCTGCATCAGTTTTTTATCTATGGATCCATATGTTTTCTGAGTTTGTCCATATCTATCTATCTATCTATCTATCTATCTATCTATCTATCTATCTATCTATCTCAGTCTATTTTCTTTCTTTCTCAGTTTATTGTCTTTCTTTCTTTCTTTCTTTCTTTCTTTCTTTCTTTCTATGTCAGTCTATTTTCTTTCTTTCACATAAATATTCTTAGTTTCCCCATATCTATCTATCTATCTATCTATCTATCTATCTATCTCAGTCTATTTTTGTTTCTAACTTTCTTTCTGTTTATCTTTCTATTTATCTTAGCATATTCTTTCTTTATTTATTTCTTTCTATGTCAGTCTATTGTCTTTCTTTCATATACTTTCCTTAGTTTGTCCATATCTATCTATCTATCTATCTATCTATCTATCTATCTATCTATCCCAGTCTATTTTCTTTCTCAGTCTATTTTCTTTCTTTCTTTCTCAGTTTATTGTCTGTCTTTCTTTCTTTATTTCTTTCTTTCTTTCTATGTCAGTCTATTTTCTTTCTTTCATATATTTTACTTAGTCTGTTCATATCTATCTATCTATCTATCTATCTATCTATCTATCTATCTATCTATCTATCTATCTATCCCAGTCTGTTCATATTTATCTATCTATCTCAGATTATTTTCATTCATTCTTGATAATAAAAAGACTCCGGAAGATAGATAGATAATGAAAATATTATAGAGAGATAGATAGAAACTGAGATATATGTATAAATAGATTACAACAGGCATCGATAGATAGATAGATAGATAATGCAACAACTGCGAACGATAGATAGATAATTAAACATTGCGATAGATAGATACATAATGAAAATACTGAGATAGGTAGAAACCGGAAAAGAAATTAATTAGATCGTTTTGTTAATTTATTAGATTAATAAATGTTATCTAAACATTTCCTCGGTTCGGATCCATATCTGATTTACATTTTAGATCAGTATATATATATATATATATATATATATATATATATATATATATATATTATTATTAATATTATTATTATTATTTTTATTATATGATTTTATAATAAAACATGCTGAGTACGCTACACAAAAACTTTCTCTAATTATGTATATATATATATATATATATATATATATATATATATATATATATATATATATATATATATATATATATATATTCAAACAGGTTTTGAATTTTGTTAAATAATTTAGACATATTATGTCGGGCAGTTTCGTAGTGATCTTGGTAGCCGGAGAAAAAACTTTAAGAAAAATACCAAAATTTTATTTCAAATGGATTTTATTTTAATAAGTACTTTCAATCTCATCTGACCCTATCTTCAGCGAGTTGTTACCTGAGAACCAAACCTGCTTGAAAATATGCTGCCTAAATATGCACCATATATATATATATATATATATATATATATATATATATATATATATATTCACACACTCAGACAGTCATATATATATATATATATATATATATATATATATATATATATATATATATATGGTCCGGTTCCTTGTACCACGGTGATAGTCCAAGTTAGAACCATTAAAGAAGAACTCGAACACAGTTATAGAATAACACAGATATATTACAAACAGGAATATATACAGAGAAGTAGAAGTGTTAGTATGAACAATCAGGTTTAGTAGAGAGAACAATGTAGTCTTGACCAGTATCACTGTTCCAATGTCTTGCAGTAATTGTCTGAATTCGTCTCTGTTTCGAACTGCCTCTGACTCGACACTTGACTCGACTTGAACTACTGGCTCGACTTGAACTACTGACGATATTCATCACCCCCCCCCACCACCACCACGAGGGCATCATGTGACACAAGGCCGGTTTAACGTGGGATCTCCGATCCTGTGGGCTCGGCCAAACATATGCCCATTTGAACCCGGAGCCTCATTCGAGTTCCTCCCCGCCCGAAGGCAGAGAGTTCAACCGATCAGCCGGTCGAGTCTTGAACTACTGACTCCCTTGCCTACTCCTGAGGCGCAGCATGTATTAAGTATGGAATAGTCCATTATTATTATTATGGGTAAGACACATAACATATACCATTATATATTATATATATATATATATATATATATATATATATATATATATATATATATAAAGAACACTTTTCTTAGACCTAGCATTTCGTCCTCTACTTGATTTTACGTAGGTAATGTTTTATTTTGCAACAATTATTTATACACAGATTTAAAGATATCGTGAAATTATTTTTTTGTAAATTAAGAACGCACATAATTATATATCAAGCTAACTGATACACACCGTACATTATGGAGAATGCAACAGTATGTAATTTAATGTCAAATAAGCGAAAATGATTGAATGGTTGTTGTCATTTTTTATTATAAAGAAATTGCTTTTCATATTATTTTGAGAAATTTTGTCATATAGTATATATTTTAAATAATAGAATATTTTGAATCTAAACCTTTTGTATTAATGTTGGCATTGTAAAAAAGTATTTCTCTTAGGAAAGAAGTTATTTAAAAACATCAAGCGCGTAGATTTATGGTTTGGGAAAATTCCATAGCAGCAGTTTAATTATAGTTACTTTCTCTTTTGAAAAATATGGCATTTTTTAGATCGAAGTTGTGGCAGAACGTATAACTGTGAATCTGATAAATTGTTGCGCATAACGTCCTATGGGTACATATGTAGATTTTCTATACGTTTGTCCAACACATTGTAAAGAGCATTTATTAAAGTTTATATTATATACATGCTTTAGAAATATATACACGTATAAATATACAAATAAAGAGAAAGAACAGTCAGATTAATAATCCACATCATTTATTATTTATTTATTAAAAACTGTCCGCGTCACAAAGTAGAGCATAATATTATATTATTTTTTATTTAAAAAATATTATAATTTTTTATTTTAAAAATATTTTTTTCATCGCGACACGGAAATTTCTGTTTCGGAACTTAAAAAAGTTTAAGAAAAGTGAAAAATGTAAAAAAAGTTGAAAAAAAAAAAGTTGCTGAACATCGCTTGATTATGGAACAATTTTAAGTTTCCGAAACAGAAATTCCCGTGGTGATGAAAAGATATTTTCAAATAAAATCTCATAATACATATATATATATATATATATATATATATATATATATATATATATATATATATATGTGTGTGTGTGAGTGTA